TTAAGTCAAAAAGGAACTTGGAAAGAACGGTTCCAGCACCTCACCTGGGGTTGTTCAGAAGCGAAGCTCTTCTGCTGTTGGCGCACGCTTTGGCGTGGAGGCTCCCAAGAAGTTGGTGGCGGTGGACTTGGTCTTGGATGATGCCGGTGATGCGGTTGTGGTGTCGGCGCAGGGTCTTGCGGAGGAATCCACACATGTTTCAATCCCTTCAGCTTTCGGCAAAAGCCATGGTTGCTGGAGCCGAAGGCTTGGTATCCGGGCATCCACCGCGGACAGCTTGTACCAAAGCCCTCGATTTCTTGGCTGAAGGGGTCGTCTTGAAACAAGAAGCTTACTGCAGTGCGTATCGAGCGTGGTGCAGTCAGCGAACTCCATGGAATCGTGCAAAACTCCACTTCTCGGTCAAAGACCTCCAACTGTGTCCGCACCATGACCACACAATGTACATGCCACGGTGAGCACTGTCCGGTTCCGACATGGGCAGCTATTCGAAGAAGAGAAAGACCCCCTAGTGCAACTTGCAACGTCTCTTTGCAAATTGGAAGAAAAGAACACATTCAAAACTGCCGATCACGTAGATGATAGCAAGGAAGAACAAATCTAAAGAAAAAAGTCAGACCTGATCCAGAACCAGAGCCTATGTTGGGCTAGCGGTCAAATTTGTAAGTGTTCCTCCCTGACATGCTGAGTATGCTGAACAAGGTTCCATCTGTCTGGAAGTGCTTTGAGAAGTGTTGAGACTTGCCATCTATCAGCCAAAATGCTAAGACAGAGATTGCACAAACTAAATGGCTCATTTCCCCAACTGGATGGAGATGGCATTCGGTGGGTCATGGAGTCATAACTTCATAGAGGTATCTTGTTGGAGTGGTTCAAGGCGCAAGGTGCGTGGAGCCAGCGCTGTTTGGCGCGCAAGGCATTGAGTCTTGGACAGAACTACTTCTTGCCGCAAATTCGAATGACTCTTTGGATTGCTTCAAATTCGAATGGTTCTTTCCTTCTGTTCTGTTCTTTAGCCCTTCATAGACCCTTCTGCTTTTCATGTTATTTCCTTTCCTTTCCTTTCAACACTTCGTTCCGACAAGGCTTTTTGCATGGCTTTGCCGTTCTCCTTTTGGGCCTCTCTTTGCGCCTCGACGTTGGCTCTGCCGGCTGGTCGCTCCCGGCTGGTCGCCCGGCCCCCGCCTTCGAATTCGTTCGGGCATACCCTGACCTCGAGGCCAGCCTTCGCCCGGTTCAAACCCACGGTTTGGAAAACCCGAGCCCTTCAACCTGGAAAAAGAGTGGAAATTCGGAAAGGGTGGATTTAAAGGAGATCCTAAAACAAAATAGGACTGAAGATACTTGAAGTGATTCGTTGATATTTTCGGTGGTTGTCCAGGTTTCACCCTTCGACAAGCGAGCTTACAGTACATAAAGCATCCATGTGTGGACCAGCCGCCGCATGCACTGAGCAAGATGCGGGAAAATAGCAGTCGGTAGCAGTCGGACTGTTGCTGGCCCAAGCTTACAAATCTTGAGCCGAGCGGCTTTTGTGTGAGCTTTAGTGAGTGGAAGCCATCGCTACTAGGAGCAAGAAAGCTACTAGTAGCTCCTGGCCTCACTACTAGTAACAAGAAGCTACTAGGTGGAGGTCATCGCTCTTAGGGTGTCGACATGTCTCAGACCCAGACTCGACCACCAAAGCTCACTCACTCGCCTCAGGGCCGTCTGCTATCACAGAGGCCCAATCTGTACAGTGCAGCTTTCAACTGCCCACGCTTCAAAGGTTGGCTGTACCTGCCGCCATCACACCAGGTGTCAGCACCAGGTGTCAGCACCAGGTGTCAACAGGAAAAGCAGTGAACGACACCTCCGACCTACAAGCAATGGCATCCAACCCTCCGGAAACGTCCATGCGTCTGACATGTTTGTGTTTCTTGGTGATCCTCAATTCTTGCCGCGACCACTTTGACCTCTTTCTATTTTTAGGTCCAAAGACCACAACTTGGAGCTCCTTTCGACCTGAATGTGCTACAAACACCACGTCGCTGCCCACCTGCCTCAAATGGCGGCAAGGACCTCGAGCGACTAAGCGTAGCTCAGAGACACCATGGTTACGTTCAAGCCTACCGTGTCGAATTGTGAGAATCAAAATTGTCTAGGTTCGAGGCCATCGCTATTAGGTTGGATTCCCTTCATTTTTCCCTTTCAAGGATGCATTCCAATGAATGGCACTCCTGCCAATGAAGCCTGTCCAACCAGACCCAAAAGTACTGACTGATTTGACATGTTCTTAGTATCTAGTGGTCATTTTTGATCTGTACTGTTGGACCACTAATCTGAAATCACGGCAAAGTCCAATGATGCACAAGCCAGTGAAAGTGACAACAAAATATAACCTGGTGAACTGGTGAAGTTGAAAGTGTGCGACTGCTACTCTCTTCAACTCGATTCCCCAGTTTGGCGCACAATTTAACTGAATTCTCGAGATCCATTCAGTGGGGCGCATCAAAACTAGTATATAGTGTTGGTGGAAAGCTTCAAATACTACCTGTCTTCATGGTATGCTCATGATGTTCGTACTTCGAATCCTTTCTTTTTCGAAGCTACTAGTAACAAGTGCATCGCTTCTAGTAACAAGTGCCTTACTGGTAGTAACAAGAAGCTATTAATTTAAATTTAATTGGTATGAGAATTTGCAAAAACTTCAAATTCATTCGGCCCAACCTCCCAAGAGCTGCTCTTTTCAGCGCTCAAGACCACCTGACTGACGTGTGAAGACATTCCCAATGCCCAACAAAGAAATAGTGCGCAACGATGTTGTACATGTTTCTTATGTGTTCATGTTGACACTGCAAAGGGCAAAGGAATGTTCATCAAGAATATCCCCCACACACACAGCAAAAAAGGATTGATTTTTTTGGGGGTAGGTCCAGTTGTAAGCCGGGTAAAGGCTAGTAGGAGATAAGTTTAGTAAGCAAAAAAGAAAGCCACCAGGGACTAGACGCACAAGTGCAAACGGTTTCAAGATTTTGAGGGAAACTCAACCTGCCTTGTTCTTTATCTTTATTCTATCTGATTCGTTAGGTTGGAGGCCACTGGTTTCAGCTCGACGAGCTCCTTCCGGGCCTTTTGCGGGCCCAAAGGGTCCACGTAGAGGCACATGCCAGTACACTGGTGTTGCAAAGAAGTGTCCTTCCCCAGACCTGGCGGAGAAAGGACGCTACTAGGAGCAAAGGGCATCGCTACTAGGAGCAAGTGCATCGCTAGTAGTAACAAGTGCCTTACTAGTAGTAACAAGAACGCTACTAGGGGCTCCTGGCCTTACTACTAGGAGCAAGGACGCTACGTTCGGGGCTCCTTCCCCAGACCTGGCGGGTCGGTCTGGGATACGTCCTACACTCGTCCTCCTTATTGTTTCTAATAGCAAACATTGTTACTACTAGTAAGGCACTTGTTACTACTAGCGATGCACCTGTTACTAGAAGCTTCTTGTTACTACTAGTAAGGCACCTGTTACTAGAAGCGATGCACTTGTTCCTAGTAGCTTATTGTTTCCTACACTCGTCCTACACCTGTAGATTGAAACCTACTAGCGATGGTCTCCACCCTAGTAGCGACGAGCTTCCTTGAAGAAGCGTGAGCTATCCTGCGTCCTGGGTAGGAGCGTACTTGTAGGTAGTAGCTACCTAGTCTCTACCAGCTACCTCGGCCTACCCCCCCGTCCCCCGGGCTTGAAAAAAGACAAGCTTTTCACCTTGATTCCTACACCCAAAAAGAGCCTACCGACACTCAAGACAAAGGGCCGGTCCCTGAGGGTCAGCGTCTTTGGACAAAGGACGCGTGATTTCTGCAGGAATCACTGCTTACAACAGGCCTCTACCCTCTGCGGAAACCAAAAACAACAACAATGATTTGGGGACTACTTCATTGATGAGACTAGTATGGAAAAAAACTTTGTTGAATGACTCATCCAAATTACTCAAGATCAATCAACATCAATCCTGGCTAGTCTGAGTGATATCAGGCCCATTCATCTGTACATCTGTGTGGCTGTTCCAAACTATATAATATCATGCTTGCATCCTAGAGTGTGAGATATACTTCATACTTCATATCATGTTATGACCTCAGATCATGAGAATTGATCTGCGCATACCATAATGTGACAAACATGTGATCTATATATCTCATAGTGTGTGAGATTGTGCGTTTAAATGTCAAAGCATGACATGCAGCGATTCACCTGTCAGACAATGAGCACTGCTCTATGACCATCATAGAATCATATTGTGCCGTACATATGAGCTGTCTCAGAATGTGAAATAGAAACAATAAGCTACTAGGAACAAGTGCATCGCTGCTAGGAGCAAGGGCCTTACTAGTAGTAACAAGAAGCTAGTAGAAACAAGAATGAGTAATTAGAATAATATACGTTCTCTTTGTTTTTGTGTCCAATGAAATGCAGGGATGCACTTCTCACATCATCAGACCTGATCTGTGCATAATATACACGACGAAAGGCGTGGGGTATATGGTTCATACTGATGTGACCATATTCGATGCACGCTGATAATCTCATAACATGAGAACTGAGTTCTGCATATCATAATATCATACTTTGACATACATTTGACCTTTCTAACAGTGTAGCAAAAGTTTCATTTGTCAAACAATGAAATGCTTGTCGAATATATGATATGTCACAATATGATATGCAAAGATTGATGCTCATGATCTGATATGGTCACTTTTGCATCTCACTTTAAATATGAACAACTTATCTCACACTTTGTTGAATTGCACATGTCTGAGTTTGAGCTGCAAACAACTATGTCACAGTTTCAGCTGCACATGTCTCACGCCGGATTAGCAGCATGTGCTCATATTGTCACATCTCAAAGCATGCGAATTAATGTGCGCAGCTCACACAGTGCGCGGTCAGTTCTTCATTTCTTCACCCATGAAATGCAAAGGTGCACCTCTCAAACGAGATTGACGTGTGCCTATTTATTGTGGCAAACATATGAAACTTATCATAATGTATGCAATTCATATGTCAAGGCAGTGCAAAAGCGCTAATCTCAGGACTTGAGATATGTTGTCTGCACCTCACAAAATGAAGTTACCTTAAGATGACATCTGAAGATAACATCCTTTTGGAATATCATCTTAAAAATGGGTCACACTAGAAAATCACACGCTCACAACAGTCCCTTCTCTTTTGGAAAGCTGCTCAGAGACCTGCTGGTGCAGGCTCACTCAGTCCAGGCGGTCGCTGTACATCGCCGCGAGCACACTCTGCACAAGGCACTCGCCTGTCAAGCCATCTGAATATCTGCTTGCTCTGCTCGCTTTCGCCGTCTACAAGGTCCTAGGTGGAACGGACTTTCACCAGAACCCAGAAGGCTTCTGAGCAACCTCCAACGGCACAAAGTTACAGAAACTTTTACGAAAGACCGGAGCCCCAAAAGACGCTACTAGGGGCTCCTGGCATCGCTACTAGGAGCAAAGGACGGTAGTAGGGGCTTCCAAAGAGAACACACCAAAATAAGCTGCGAAAACACAAAGGGAAGACAAGTCTCGAGACATCCGAGCCGGCGCTGGTGGAGACCTCGCGAAAGGAAAGAATCATAATGAGGGAAGGACAATCGGAATGCAGGTTTTATGCTGTGTACTATGTTTCTTAGTGTTTTTAACTATAGCTTTATTTGATAGTTTTTACTATTGTAAGATGTGTTTTTAAGCCCGGGGGGTAGGTCACAGATAGAAGAGGAGGTAGCTATAGTAGCTACTTAAGCAGGGGAGCTTCCTTGAAGAAGCGTGAGCAAACCTGCGTCCAGTAGGTAGTAGCGAACAAGTGTCTGCCCCAATTAAGTGGGCACCTACTTAAATAAGTAAGGGACAAACTAGTTCACTACTAGGCTACTTGGAAGCTACTACCTTCTGTCGTTCCAGACCTCATCCAAGTCCTTCGGCGACTCCTTTGTCTTCGGCAGGCCCGAAGAGATCGGCGCTCCATGCAGGGTTGCCATCAACCACTGAAGGCCTGGCAGCCGCACGAAGACGATGGAAGCCCCTGATGGTGCTGCCACATGAAATAGACTAGGCGCAGCTATAAACCACCAAAGCAAGTTGGCCCAAACATGCCCAAACAAATTTCGTCCACCTCACCTTTTGTCCAAGTTGTTTCACCAGCGCTTTTGAGTTTCACCACATTTCCAGTTCGCTCTGGTTTGGCCCTTCTGGCCTTCCGTGATGCCTTTGCCTTCCAGAAAAGCACTTTCCTGCAAATGCCACTTTGCATGGCGAAGGCGGTGGAGTTCGAGTTTCTCCACAAGTTCAGAAGCTTTTGCAGCATGGGGATGGTCCTCTGTGACGCAGGCGACAAACGACGGTCGCTTGAAAACCCAAGCCCTGCACGGACCTGAATGTGTTCTCCGTTCTTTCGGAGTTTCTTGTTGCCAGGAACAAGTGCCTCGCTGGTAGTAACAAGTGCCTTACTGGTAGTAACAAGAAGCTAGTAGTTAATTTTACTTTAATTCTAATAGCTTCTTGTTACTACTAGCGATGCACTTGTTACTACTAGCTTCTTGTTACTACTAGTAAGGCACTTGTTACTAGTAGTAAGGCACTTGTTTCTAATTGCTTCTTGTTACTACTAGTAAGGCACTTGTTACTACTAGCGAGGCACTTGTTACTACTAGCGTGGCACAATTGGATAGACTCCGAAATAACGGAAATACATGGACACTTTGTCATTGATGCTAGATAGCGAAATACACTCTCACACGTGGTTGATTTGACCACGCAGGACCTGAGAAGGGGCATGGAACCCTTTGATAAGGAGTATCTCTTGCCGCTTGCCTATCAACACGGATCTAGGGTGTCGCTAGAAGGTTGGAGGCCATCGAAGCTCGCAGCCTCCACTCCTTTACTCGAAATCGCTTCAGAGCTCAAGCAAACATTGCCTCTAATTTTGCTTTAATTCTAATAGCTTCTTGTTGCTACTAGTAAGGCACTTGTTACTACTAGCGTGGCACTTGTTACTACTAGCTCAAGCAAACATTGCCTCCCACTGCTTTGAGGGGCAAAACCCGATTCACAGGTGCAGTGGTGGAGGCATTTGGAGGATACGATTTCCACGATCCCCCCCCATCTTTCGATCTCCTGCTTGTTGGCAAAGATCAAAATCGGCTTCCCTGCAAGCAGCTCTTCCTGTGACATACTCAAAAGCTGGTCCGCCGCCTCACCCAAGCGCTCGCGATCGTTGCTGTCCTGCCGGCGAAAGAAAGAAAACGCACTCGTATCATGTTTATTGTTTCCTATCCTTTCATGCCACGAACCCTGGGTCTTAACCAGGTACTTTTCATCGACAGCATTTATATGCCTGCGATGCCTAGTTGAAGGCGTCTATTTCATCTAAACCAATCTTGTTGCACACCGCACCAACACGTTGAAAATGCCGGAACGCGAAGGTTTCAGGCCAAAACCACCCCTCTCATCCCTCTCCACCACAAAGATCACGGCATCTTTGTCTTTGTAGAAGTGTCGCCACAATGGTCGGATCTTATCGCGGCCACCAACATCCCATGCATCCACACTAATGAGCTCCATATTGTCAAACTTCAACGTGGCCTGAACGAGCAAATCGATTCACTTCAAAACGGATTCCTGAGAGGAACAGTCTTCAACAAACTCCCTTGAGGTTAGGTAACGGTTAGCTTGCTTGGTCAACACAAACATCCTGACATGGCTAGTACGCCTTCTCCACGTTGAAGCCGATGGTGGGGATTGTCGTGTCCACGTTTCGCGACATCTTGTAGAGCAAGGTAGTCTTCCCTGCGCTATCCAGTCCCACAATGACCGCGCTCGATCCTGCAAAGCCAAGTCTGACTCCCCAAAGGAGCCCACGTGTGGCCTCAAAATGCACCTGTATCTTTTGGAAGGTTGAAAATCCCTTAGTAAAGGTTTTGGCATCTACCACCGCTGGCCACTAGCCATTGCAAATTGAGAGGGCGAATTCCGTATCTTTCAAAGAAACCAACTAAGATTGATTTGAAGAGGGTGCGGTCTTCGTCACATTTCGTCACTACGTCCGGACATCTTTTTCATGAAAAATAACAAACATTGATTGAGGTTCGCTACTAGGGTGGGGGCTATTGCTACTAGGTTGGAGATTCTTTGCGGTTCTCCTTTGCACCAAGATTCGTGGTTTTCGCGAGGAGACGGAGAGTCCCATGGCAAGCGGCTACACTTCCTCTCACCTCTCACAGCACCAGAGCTTCGAGCTCTCTTCGCTCGAGCAAGGCAAGCTGTAGGTCCAGTGTAAACAGATCTTCACGCAACCAGTTTGGCCAAGAAAACAAGCCAAACCACCCACCACCTCCCAAGAATCTAACATGCCAGCAAGGCGAAAGAGCTCACGCCTGCCAAGCCGTTGACTGGAACAGCAAAGTTCCGTAAAAATCCTGGCAGAGGCGGAGCAAGCGGGGCAAGCAGTTTCCCTTCGTGTCAGGTTGTTCTTTGTTCTTTCGTAATGGCAAACTAAAGTAAAGACCTGTCCATTTACTTTATTTTTTCTTTGTTTCTAATAGAGATGGCCTCCAACTTACTAGCGATGGCCTCCAACTTACTAGCGATGGCCTCAAACCTTCATCTTGCCTTTCTTTTCTCCCTCTTTGAACTACTAGGAGCAAGGACGCTACTAGGAGCAAAGGGCATGTCTACTAGGAGCGGCATCGCTACTAGGAGCAAGAACGCGCTCGAAGATTTCAAGCCCCGACTTCTTGCTCCATGAAGGGGGTTCGCTATCAATGTTAGGACCTGGGGTATGCAAGCAGGATCACACCTGACATTTACATCAGCACATTTTCCAAAAACGTGAAATGCATGTATTGGAAAGGCAAAGTGGAAATGGTTCAATACTGTATTGTGGTTACTACTGTGGTTGGTGTGCCTGTTCCCTAAATAGCAGAGCCTGCAGCGCAACAGAATTGTTTGGCTTTTTGTGCATTGCAAACAGTTTAACTTCCAATCATCATGCCCGGGTAACATGACCAGGCAGGGTGGCACGTTCTATAAAATGTGATGGTCCCAAAACCTCCCAGTAGCGTCCTTGCTCCTAGTAGTATGGCCAGGAGCCCCTAGTAGCGTTCTTGTTCCTACCCCAAAACGCCGAAGAGTCTGGAAGAGTCTCACTCCGCATCCAAATCCACCATTCCTTCAATATGAACTCCCAGTCCATGGAGAAATTGTCCGTCTAGTTGTATGATATCATACGCTTTGTTCAGATGGATATCGGAAGTGCATTGACTCGTCACCTCATTCCCAACAACCTTTTTGAACATTACAGTTCCAAGGAAACCTTGCGCACGCTTCTGGCGTTGTGAAAGTTAAAGGTTCCTGTTTTGGAAACACCGCTTCATAACAAAATGTATGGCCACCACTAGCTGCACTACACTAGCCCTTGCTAACACAGTACACTACCTACATGTGAGAAATAAGGCATGCTTATTCCAGGTTGGAGGCCATCTCGAGGCAAATAAGGTCTTTTGAAAGAGTCTTTTGGTCCGAAATCGCTGAACTCCTTCCGTCCCGAGCCTCCTAGAGCCGAGGAAATGCCGATGAGATGGAAGGCCCTGAGAAAGACATGTACAGGTGGTGCAAAGTGGGTACATCCCAATCACTCTAGTAGTGACAAGAAGCTATTAGTAACAGGTGCATCGCTAGTAGTA